CCGACCCAAACCCGTCGATTCTCGATTCGGGCACCCGTTCGGGTATTCAATTTATGAAGAACCGTTCGGTTCGGTTCGGTTCGGGTTCGGTTCGGTCCGGTTCGAGACTTTTGTACACCCCTACTTGCAAGCATTGGATTTGATATATAGGCAAGTTATGATACCATATTGACATTTTACGATTGTCATTTACAAAATTAAAGAAAATTGAAGCACACATCGAATTTTATGCGAAGTAGCTAGCAAACTCTGAGGTTTAAGAATTAGTAAAATCCATTATAAACTTTGCTCAGTTTGTAATAAAGTTAAGATGTACTAAACCATAGTGCAAACTAGCCAAGTGATGAATTCAAACTAGAAAAGGAGAAACAAAATAAATATGGACAACCCTTGAAGCAGAGACCTATTTACCTTCCTCTAAAAACGTCAATTCATCGCTTGGCTTGGGTGTAAGTATTGTCGGGGCTTAAAAGATGAGCCCAAATTGAGAAGCATCATATATTATGTAAGCAGTGACAGATGTAGCTTGTCAGTAGTATTTGAAAGGTAGTTCAAATGAAAGTATAAAAATCTAGAGTGATGACATATAAAACAAGAACAATGGCTTCAAGACGCAAAGTTCTTATTTGATAATAAAATTGTAGTTTAATATATTATCATCAAAAAAATGAAATTTAAGTCTTTTGAAAGCAGCCTCTCTAATGTCTTCTTGTTTCCCCATAATATGATCTTGGTGATGTTATAGAAGGCAGGCATTAACAAGAAACTCAAATAGCTAATAGAGTAAGTACCATGCAGCAAACAATTGTCATTCTGCATTATTTAAAATTACATTACCTTGGGTTTGGATTGCCTTTAACAAATTTCTGCCCATATTTTCGCCAGCGGTAGCCATCGTTCACTACATCAATCTCACTAATAGTCTGAACAACATGCCGTGATTCACAATTGGGTTTATTCAGATTATCATCAACACCAGAAATCTCTCTCTTTCTGCAAAGGCATTAGTCCAGTGACAAATGTTAGCCCACAGCAGAGGGTATGCATTAAAAAACATGGAAAGCTTTTGGTTGAACATACTGTCGTTTCGAGTCTCGACAGCTATCGTTTTCATCACAGATTTCTGTGCTTGACTGTGAAACTGCACCTGCCTCCCCATCACCAGTTTCTGCCACAGGCAATGGCTGTGAGGTCTCTCTTGGTTTCATACGTTGAGATGCATTGCCAGGTGCAATTGGCTCAGCAACACCTGAGAGGTCAGTAAATAAGTCAAGATTTGTTCCAAATGTCAAAATAGTCAGAGCTGAAATTTAGGAATTATCAAATTTACCTTCTGATGCAGTCATGACCAGTGACTCTGCTGTCCGCACTAGAAGGCCAGTGGCCACATAGGGACTGTGTTGTGGTTTAGGATGTTCATGATTCCCAAGGTAATTAACGTCTTTTAGATTACCATAATGTGATCTCTCCACTTGCTTCTTCACAAGGCAATTAGGGTAAGTACACTTGTAGTAGCTTCGAATAAATTCGTTTCCTTTCACAAGCTTTTGCCCATATTTTCTCCAGTTGTAGCCATCATCTAATACTTTTTCTGGTACTTTAGAGGGAGTGCTTTCTGGATCAGATTGTGATCCTTGAACACCAGGGTCAGGGTTCCTTCTCGGTGGCAATTTCTCTGCTTTCTCAGGTCTTGTAGAAAATGAAAAATGCTGTTGATCGGAATGTGATGCAGGCTCCTCAAGTTCAGAACTTGGTATTAGTGGAAAATTATCTGAGACTATTTCCCTTTTTATAGAAACAGATTTTTCTTCATTGCTCATCGACTCATGGTATCCAGCACCCCAGCATTGTTTAGAGTGTAGATTATTAGATTCTTGTTTCGGTATAACAGACACTTTCTCAGAGACACTGGAGAGAATGCTTCCTTGATCAGATTGTAAACCACAGGCTACATTGTCAAGGTTCCGCCTTGGCAGCAATTTTGCAAGAGCTTTCTCTGGTATAGTCGAATAAGTGGATTTCTGCTGGCGATATTGTGATGCAGGTATGTCAGATATGAAACTTGGTACTGGAGGCACAACATCTGTAGCCTTCTCTTTTTTGACAGTAACAATTCTTTCCTCCCCCAATTCTGACTTTTGCAGTACAGCATCAGGGCTCTGTCTTGGCTGCAAATCATCAAGTGTTTTGGGGATTATACGTATTCCATAGGGAATACTTTCTTGATTTGATTGTAACTTATGAACTCCAGTGTCAGGGTTCCGCCTTGGCTGCAATTTCTCCATAGCTTTATCTGATCTTGTAAAATAAATGTCTTGGTCTAGATCATATTGGTTCTCTGGATTTGAACTTTTTATTTCCACCACAATATCAGATGTGCTCTCCCTTTTAATAAACAGAGCTCTGTCTGCTTCGCATAATTCTGATCCATCACATCCAGCATCAGTATTTTGTCTCTGCTGCAAATCATTTGATTCTAGTTTGGGTGTTACAGATGATTGAGATGTAGGGTTACTATTTTCTGGATTCTGCTTCAGCAACAGATCACTTGATTCTTTCTCAGGCATTGCGCAGAGAGAGTTTTCTATTTGACTAGATTGTAGCAATTGAATCCCAGTAAGTTGGTTTTGTCTCTGCTGCACGTCACTAGACATTTTCTCGCAAATAAGGGGTGAGGAGTGTTTTGGGGGGGGGGATGCACCCTCCTCTTGATAAGACTGCTGTATCTATCTAACTTCAAATTAGTATTCAGTCTCTTCTGCAGTTCGCCTGACACTCATGAGGCACAACAGATAGAAATCTTTCAAATTGAACTCTACTTCATGAAATCCAGTGTCAGGATCCGGTTTCTAATGCAATTTTCGAATAAACTGCATCTAACAATGTCTTCCTTGTGTAACCAGAGATGCAGTAAAAGGGAATACAGTCAATACATCTGCTAAAAAATGATCTCCACGCTTCAAAATGATAGTCAAAATGAAAACAATGAAGCCAAATGCATATGTCAACATGAATTAATCCATAATATTATTGGTCATTTGAATCTACAGAATCCAAAAAGAAGCAGGAGGTGAGGACTGATCTCCAAAGCTAACAAACTACTGGAGATTAGGGGTGTCCAAAAGTTCCAAACCAAACCAAACCGGACCGAACCTAACCCAAACCGAGTCGAGCGGTTCTTCATAAATTAAATACTCGAATCGAGAACCGATGGGTTTGGGTAGGGTTTTGGGTCTAGACCAAGAACCGAAGAACCGAATAAGAACCGAAACTAAATAATTTTTTTTATTTTTAATATTGAATTAATTAAATTATTTTATTTTTTTCTAAACAAAT